ATGAGCGATGTTAGATTATCCCGTTTGGCCTATTCTACGTTTTGACGAAATATAATACAACGCTTACTTCGTTTGTATTAGATCTGCCGTCCAAAAATGAGCCTAAACGTACAGAACAACCAATCAAAATATCAATTGTTTTGGAAAATTTGTCATTTTTACGAGTCGTTTGGTATTATATTCTTTCCATATGTATACACGCTAGAAATAGAAAAATTGTGTGATTAAAAAAAATTTGTATGATATAATAGTAGTATATAATTGTATATTATCTAATTTACGGAACATGCGTACAGTAATTATGCTGGGAGCAATTTGAAACATTTTTAGATTTATCTTGATTGACATTTTTATGACTGCTCGACTGTAAATCAAGAATATACGTTCGCGATATAATTATTCGAGGAAAAATTCCATTTTCTAGTCCAACATATCTCCCTGTTATTATACAGTTGATAGCACCATACAATTTTATAACATATCTTGTTTAACGCGGGCCAAGTTTCGCGATCGATTTTATATTATTAACTAAGGCTTATTTTTCTCTTTCTATATATATATATATATATATCAAATTTTTTTAATATAAAAAAAATAAAAAGGCAGTGATACAATGGGGTGATAGTATGTATATTAAGTAAATTTTCTCTCGTTATACTCATCTACTGTTCTGTCTATTCAAAGTTTATGATATACATAATATATATAAATACATAGTTCTCGTTCGTGTTCGTACGATACAATGCGAGGATCGTACGCCGCTTTTGTATCGCTCGTAAGACTGGAATGTCCAGTTTTACAAATTAAAAACGTGCCAAGGGATTTGCGGTCTTCGTATTGATAGATTATATGATATCAGCAGTTACGTAATCCATAGCATAATCTATTTCTATATATGTCGACAACAGTTAAGTGTATGTCCTGTATAATCAATTTGTGGATATTATAATGAAATCTGTAATATATAATCACACCTTTTAATATATTTATCACTGTCTTAGATGTATATGGTAACTGTAATTGATTACGTGAATCTATTTCTGATGGCAACAATGATAACTCAAAAGGCATATAAATAATAAGATGGAAATATATGTTAGGATTATATATTTATCTCTACTCTTCAGGATCTACTAGTAATTATATCAGCTTCCAAAAGTCTACATACACTCAACAGTGTACAATAAGCTCTTGTAATCCTATGAAATTTTAGGTTCAACAAAATCTTGCAAAAAATATCTTAACGTTACCAGAATCTATATCAATATATTTGACAATATAAATATTTTTTGAAAAAAACAGACGGAGAACGATAGATATTAGAATTGTTTGTCGACAACAAAAATACTATTCTTTTATGGTAACTTGTGTTTATGCACATAGTAATAAAATCTTCAGAACCGATGATCAACGAACTCTTTGAGAATCCCTTATAATTGGCATAATTTTTATGTATTACTTTAAATTACCCTTTGCAAAGTCATTGCCTTACACGTTTGTAAACAGGTAGTGTATATAGCATGCAGAAATGATGTAGAAACTTTACGTATCCTAGAGAAGGGAACAAAAATTTTACGTTTTCTTCGTTAAGAACAATGTGGAAAATAATAAAACACAAGTTTTTATTTCAAACGCTAGAGAAAACGATATTTTAATACTTAATAGTATAATTCAACAAGTATATGATACATATATAAATTTATCACGTTCGAATAGCCCCAAAAATTTTGATAGCAGTCCGTGTGTATAGTATAAAAGTATATGTATTCAACATTGTGTATATACGCACACGTACGGGAGCGTACATAGATATGCGATTGTCATAATAACAGCTGTTGTAACGATTTAATATATCGCAATAAATATTTAAAAAAATCATGCATCATCAACGAACGAATATTGATTTTTTTCTTCAGCTAATGAATGAAGTAGTAAAAATTATTTTCTATCCATACTACATCTACATTTATGCTTTTCAAATAAATTTTTATGCAAATTTTAGAATTATAACATATTACAACTTACGAGTGGTAGGCGAATCTTTTGCGCTGTGCATTAATTATAACACTTGTTTGTTTAATTGCAAATGTAAATGCCTATGTAAATGCTACGAGTCTCCTAACAAAACGAATATAAATTGATTAATCGGCACGAATTAGCTTGTAACGAGAGCGAGAAACATATAATTAATCAATACTAGTGTGCTTTATTCGCGTTAATAATGACACTTTAGATTTTCGAAAATAAAATGATGGATGAGGTACTGGCATGATTTTTACAGTTACGTTATTAGACTTGGGTTGCATTACATAATCCTTGCTTGTACTATCAAAACTTTTATTGACAATCGTAAAACCATAATAATGTTATAATTATTCATACTATGTACATATGTAATATACAAGAAATCCTATTTTTGCGCGCGAGAAGTAGGACATCCTATATATAGATATTTATAAATCTGTATACAGATATTTATAAATCCTGGATATTATACAAGACGTTACTCATAAAATATATAACTCCTCGAGAATATATTAGGAATACATTAGCAAAATGTATAAGCTCATGCACTCCTTCATTAGAAATTTCTGATGAAATTGCAATCAACTTTTTCTCATTAAAAAATTCGTTCATCACTGTTTATAATATAGAAATTAAATATTTATAATGAAACTAATAAAAATCAAATAAAATTTACTAATAGTTTATACTTGAAATTAATTAAACGAAAACTAAATCTCGTGAAGATTTCAATAAATCACTTTTTTAAACAAATCTCAATTTATATTAATAGAAAAATATTTAAAATTGCGGAAGCAAGTGCATAACTTTGTAGATGAATTTTGTGTAGGCGTATCAAGTGATCTCTCGAAGAGTTACGAGGAATAATTTAAAAGACGATATAAACGTCATAGTTCGCAGAATGACTTCTAATACAATTGATACTTACATTACTCAGTATTGTCAAAAATACTACATATTACAAAGTACGCATTAAAAAAAACTAATTTCGTACAGATTTATGTTTACATACAAATCTCACTTTTGTTGATATCAATTTCTCTTTATATTTTTGGCAAATTAAGGCTAGACGGAGGGATGACGAAAAAGGGATAATTTTCGTCATAACTTAGCATGAAGCTTTTCCGTTGTTGCTTTCAATCTGAAAATGTTTAAATATTTTTTCACTTTCCTTTTTACATCGAGCATTATTCAATAGTTCGAAACATTAGACCGATATAATTATAGCACTACCTGGAAAGCTCTTGCTGAATGCGATCAGTTATCGCTTTTCGCGCATCCATCTCGCTTGCTTTTGATTCCCGCAATTCAGTCAGCAATCCGCTGAAGTCTATAGGCTCACCGTAATTCATGGTAACTCTTTTTCTCATTTTAAGCATATACGGCGGTTCGTTGGGAAGTACTTCATCCATACCGAGATGACAGATAGGAATTACGATAGGCGTGATGGGTGATTCTAATATTAATCTACCCACGCCCCATTTCAATCTAAACAATATCATCGATTGTATATCTTCACTGCGTGTGACTATAGTATTATTATTAACACGGAAATAAGAACCTGAGGTGTTTTTATAGCAATAAGAAAACGTGAATTGTAAAATATTGTTTTGTATATTATTTAACATGTTTCTTTTTTTTATAATTACTCTTTACGAATCTTTAAATGTGCAATTCCATCGAAAATGTGCAATAAAAAAAACATTATATTAATTAAAACCTTTATTTTATTATAAATACTGTCATAATAAGTTACTTATTAACGATACTTGTTCTATTTAATATTTATTTGGTTTCTTACTTTTTTCAGAAAATTCTGATTAATCCGAATTCTTTAAATACCAAAATATTTAAAAAAAATCAGATGACTACTTCTGGATTAATTTCTACAAAACGCTCATCTATACACCACCTCATTTTTCGTACATATACAGAGATTTATAAAAAGATAACATTTATTATAATTTAATAATCTACTGTTATCAAAAAATAAGTTCAATTTTTATCTTCTGTAGTCGATTTGAAATTACAAAAATGTAATTTACAAATTATAAATGTTTTTGCATTTTAATTGCATTAAAATATACGGTGACGGAGTAGACAGTATGCGTAGATCACGTTATTTGATCTCAGAACAGAAGATTGTAAAAGTAATTCGAGTACAAACCTTATCTCTTCCTTAAGCATATTGACTTTTCCCTCGGGGAAGACATGCACCCACTCGCCAAGAGCCAATCTTTCGATGCAGAAGTCCACGGCTTCCTGATATACGCCGTCTCCTCGGACGATGGGTATGCACTTGCCGAGCATGAAAAAGTAGGAATGCCAGACATTCGTGAAACAAATGTCATGCGCGGCGAGCGACCATCGTACCTTATGTCGGCTCCACGAGTGCCTGAAGTCCAGGGTCGCTAAATGAGTTCAGAGATTTTTCTGTCTTAAATTCTTTCATTCGCGATCGCATATCGGCGTCGTTCTGAGAAAGAAAAACACGTCTCAAAAGAGGGACAAAACGCACATGAGGATGTCGATTACAAAAAATTAACATTTGTCTTAAAAAAAAATTAAAAAATATATAGAAAAAAAAATGCTTTTAACTATCATCGGTACAGAATCAAACGTCAGGGACACAATGAACTGAAGAACAAAGATACAAGGAAGAAAGAACGAAGAACGTACGATAAACGGGGCATCGATAAACGAATGACGCAGATATTCATGCTTACTCTCATTGTCAACTAATGGGCGCTTATCGTCATTGTTCTTCATTCACGTTGGATCAATTCTCGTAGCTAATCATCTTATCCTCATTAT